AACCTTAATTTTTTAGGAAATCTGATGTGTTAGGCCAATTCCGCGCCCGGATTTGTTTTCAGCGAACAAAAATCCACTGGAAAATACGTTTATTCACGTCCCAAAAAAAAAATCCATTTTTCTATAACTGTGGCACATATTGATTTTTATATTTAAGACCGTTTTAAATATTGGGTTGTTCGGAAAGTTCATGCTGACTAATCTATATAATTTAATAAATGTATAATACTAAAATTTAAATTTTCTGCGTTTCAATTTTCCTTCAACATTCACGAACTTTCCGGACAACCCAATATTATAGCCCTAAAATGTATAATCGAATTACAGAATCGATCGCATTAGAGAGAGAGAAAGCATCTTAGATAAGATGTTACTAATCGTAAGACAATCTTAAAATAAGAACTATGAATACTAGTCTAAGTTATTAATCTGCTAAACTGGAAAACGTTAGTCTTGGCTTCATCTAAGATATATTAAACCGCAGAATTTGAAAGTTTCTTAACGTGCAGCCGGTTTTACGAAGCGTTGTAGTATTTGTGTCCGCCTTCATTTATTAATTTACTGAGAGAAGTTATAAAATATTAGTCGCTCTCGTTATCTCAGAGTCATAACGTTTTTTTATGACGATCCTACTCCGATAAAATATAAAAGTGCATAAATAATATAAATATCAAAATATACGAATTTTATTCTTCATCCAACAAAAATAAGAAAACAAAATAGAAAATAAGTATATAGCTATGAATAAACGCCGTATATACAGATCATGCGAAAAATCTTTTTCTAAACCTTTTTTAAATATGTTTTAGTCTGGATTTGTAATAGGATTTGTAATAAAACTAACTTAGCTTTTCGGTCTAAGCTCTAAAGTTTTTTCCAGCAAAAAAATTTCCTGGCGCTGCATTAAGCCATAATCCTTAATTAAGCTTTAAGTAAACTAACCAGATCCGAACTACAAATTAGTTTATTAGACCTTACAATTATAGAGCAAATTAACGTTATAGTTCAAAGCTTACAGCAAAGGGCTTACTACTGTTATTAGAGCGAAGCTTACAAAACTTTCTATTTAACATCTATGATTAGATACTAAAGGCCATTTCAAACAACTTTGATTAACTAATCAACATTATCTTATTAAGTAATACGAAATTTAACTATCAAATTTATTTAATCAATTAATAGAATTATATTTAATACATCGAAAAAAGATTAAAAACAACAAACTGTATATTATAAATATCGTTTTGTGAAATAATTTTGTCAGTCGAGTAATTTTGTCAGTAACTTTCGTCGATTAAACATAATCGAAATTGAAATAATCCTTATATGAAACTTGCTTTGATTACTTTTAGATGAGTTGCGCGAGGTAATGAACGTTTTGGCGGGCAATCGCACATAGTACGCTGAACATAGTTGCAAAAAATAGTCGGATGGCAACCAATCAACCTTCTCAGGAGAAGTTGATCGCACGTTTTATCGTATTCCCTACTGTTCCGTCGGTTTTCCGTGCGCGAATCGTATTCAAATTCACCAATGAGAATCGTCCGTAACGATTAAAGCAGCTGTTGGCGCTGATTGGCAATGTTGGCGCCGGGCGTACTGTTCCGTCTGTTCTTCGACGTACTTCACGAGTTGCGCAACAATAACGAGGTTTGGAGCATTGTGGCTTTTGGCGCCAACGGAGCAAACGACAACATATATTAGCAATCCACGAAAAATAATAGCAAAAGTAAGTACGTGTATAAACACTAACGTTAAAAGCGCTCGCCGAAACGTGGGTGACAGTCATGATAAGCGTTTTATAACAACGTTCTCGAATCTAACCTGAAAATGTTGCAGTGCCACGAAAATCTACAAAACGGACGGCCGAAGACCCCGTGCAAGCGGACAAAGCGCCAAAGCAGATCAAAAAGAAGCAAGGTATTAGTTAGCAATTTTTTATTTTATTCCGAAAACATTTTTTCTCCCGTATTTAAATATCGTAACCCATGCAAATCTTTCGTTCCAAAAGAACATGTTTTGTAAGAATGTAAAAGTATATTTTTCGGTCTTTTTTTCTATAGGAATTGAAAGTAAAGATATTTTCTAAAAATATTCGACAAATTAATATATTTGTGTGACGTAAATTTAATTTCTATACATTTGTCTTGTACAGGATTTAGTGTAAAACCTGACTTACGATCGCTTTCAATTGGTGGTGTTATGCTTGTATTCGGACAAGGCGATTTTGGACAGCTTGGTCTAGGAGAAGATGTCACTGAAAAAATGCGTCCAGCAGCCATATCTGATTATCAAGACGTTATAACTGTAGCTGCTGGCGCTATGCATAATGTATGTCTGAGAAACACAGGAGAAGTATTGACTTTTGGATGTAATGACGAAGGAGCGCTTGGACGAGACACTACCAAGGAAGGATCTGAGACAGTACCAGGCATAGTTGAATTACCTGGTAAAGCTATTCAGGTGACAGCAGGAGATTCACATACCGCTGCATTGTTAGATGATGGTCGAGTATTTGCTTGGGGCACATTTAGGGTATATCTTTTCCATTAATTAATTTTTATAATTATTTCTTTTTTTAGAAATTATTACTTTTTATATTACTATATTTTTATAAATATAATTTA